TATCTGTGAAGATGCTGCAACACTGTGTGAAAAACAGTCATAAGTCACTTTGTTTCAGTGCTGTTGTGACTTTGAACCGTCACTAAGTGAACTATTGTTAAGTCGAGGACTACCAGTATTATTTACAGCAATAACTGTAATAATAATAATAACCCTGACAGATTATTATTATCATTTGTTAAATTTATTTGCTGCTCTAGGGGGCTTACAACAAGAAAAAGGAAGAAATGGAAGAGTGTAAACAGAAGTAAATAATAGAACAATAAAATAAATAATGAAAAAGAACACAGCCAGAATACAGGTAGTTCTCGACTTACGACAATTGAGCCCAACATTTCTGTTGTTAAATGAGACATTTGTTAAGTGAGTTACATTTTACAACCTTCCTTGCCCCAGTTGTGAACCATTGTAGCGGTTAGTAACAAGGTTGTTAAGTGGATCTGGCTTCCTCCATTGACTTGGCTTGTCCAAAGGGATCACGTGAACCCGCGACACTGCGACTGTCATAATCCTGAGCCAGTTGCCAAATTTCTTGAATTTTGATCATGTGATCGTGGGAGACGACAACAGTCGTAAATGGGAAATCGGTCTCAGTGACGTTGTAACTTGGAACGGTCACTAAGCAAACTGCTGTAAGTCGAGGACTATCTGCATATCGGCGTGATAACCCAAAAGATGGATAGGTGGAGAGCAGAGAGCAATGTGTGTGTGTGTGTGTGTGTGTGTGTGTGTGTGTTTCAAGGGCGGTGCTGCAGCGGATAAGACGCTTCTTCTGGATCCTGATAGAGTTGATTGACAGGATCCAACCTAGGCCCTCTGCCAACGTCAGCAGGATGCTAAATATCTCTCCAATAGGGGGCAGCATGTGATTCAAGGGGCAATGCAGTGGCTTGGCGGTTAAGAGGTTCAAGATCTGAGCGCCATGCGGTGGGGCGAGTTCCGATCCTTGCCCCAGCTCCTGCCCGCCTAGCAGTTGGAAAGCATTTGTTGTTGTTAGTTACGAAGTCGTGTCCGATCCATCGCGACCCCATGGACAACGTTCCTCCAGGCCTTCCTGTCCTCTGCCATCTTCTAGAGTCCATTGAAGCTCACGCCTACTGCTTCAGGGACTCCATCCAGCCACCTCATTCTCTGTCGTCCCCTTCTTCTATTGCCCTCCATCTTTCCCAGCATTAGGCTATAGGTACCACTTCAGTGGGAAGATAAGAGTGTTCCCAGCATATAATCATTACTTGCCCCACCTCCTGCCCACCTAGCAGTTGGAAACAATGCAAATACAAGTAGGTAAATAGGTAGCACTTCGGCGGGAAAGTTACAGTGCTCCACGATGTCATGCTGGCAACAGAAATATCTCTGGACAGTACCAGCTCAGCGGCCTTGAAACAGAGATGAGCACCTTCCCCTATGTCAGTGTTTCCCAAACTTGACAATTTTAAGGCATGAGGACTTCAACTCCCAGAATTCCACAGCCAGCAACGCTGGCTGTGGAATTCTGGGAGTTGAAGTCCACATGCCTTAAAATTGTCAAATTGGGAAACATTGCCCTATGTAATCAACAACGAATAGCGGAATAAAATCTTCAGAGACTCCATCCTATCTCAGAGGTGCCACGAGACCCAAGGCAAGAGATGGTGACCGTGAATTGGCTTGTGGTCCTGCTACCGTGGACTGCAACCGTTTCCGTCTCGTTCTGCTAAGCAGCCTTGAATAAGGCAAAAACCGAGATATCGAGGCACATCCGTAATTTTTTCCAAGAGGGGAAAAAAAAAAAAGCACCCTCCAGGTCCCGCAGGTTATTATGAATTTAACCATGGATTCTCTTTGCCTATTATTTTATTTAAACGACTGCTTCAAAGCCGTAACCTAGATAACTTTGATCTGGTTTCAAGACACAACGAGTGTGACAGGTTATAATATCTCCTTAGGGGGGGAAAAACTAAAAAGATTCAGTCAAACTTTGCATTTCGGCTTCCTTTGACAGCCACTTGGAGACTGGCACAGAATACACAATCGTGATTTTTTAAACATGTTAAGAACACAGGTCAGGGGGAAAAAAAACCAGCAGGAAGACATGATTAAAAAAACTAACAAAGATGACATAAGAAAAATAGCATATATATTTTTTATGTATAAAAATCTACAATACTTAATAATCTCCATGTATATCTTCGCAGCTGCCACCATTTCCGCTGCTAGCATCCAGTAAATTGTACAGCTTAACTTTCACTATCATTACTACAAATCACAAAGCCGAAGTTTAAACTTTGAGATTATGACATAATCACATGGGTTATTATACATACATTTCTAGACTGCAAAGAAATGAAACTTGAAAAGTAAAAGACAAAGTATTATTTGTCAGTTTAGAACAGGGTTAGGAAACATGTCGTCCTGAAAGTATGGAGTGCAAGTCCCATCATTCCGTTCCATTGGCTACAGCGGTTAGAACGGATGGGACCCGGAGTCCAACGTCCTTTGGAGGAACACAAGTCACCCATTCCTTTAAGAACCTTTGCTAGAATGCAAAGCTGCATGCAGGGTTTTTTAAAAATATATATATATATATAAAAAGGTGAATTCTCAAATTAATTTTAAAAATTGCAACTGATGTCCATCATGTAAGCTAAATGTTATTTCATTAAAAAAAAAAAAAAGACCACACTACCACAATAATGCCATTCTGCAGCAAACATAGGAACCAAAACAGAGTTTTGTTTAAGGCAGGTCTGTCCAACTCACAACTCAGAAAGCTCACATAGATCACAGACCATGTTTGGTGGTTACAGCGTGGGAGGGATTGACAAACCTGTCAGTGGGGTTGCCTGTGTGTGTGTGTGCAAAATTCAGGCTCAGTTTGGTGGGTCACAAATGTCACCAACCCGATGTAGTGTGGAGGGAGAACAATGCAGTTTGACCACGTTTGCCATTTGTGCAGCCAAGACAAAAATCTAAGCATCTCAATATTTTTTTTGTTCAGCATTTTTCTTTGTTGAGTGGGCCAGTGTACAAGGTGAGGGACGGTTGTGCTGTTCAGAGTTGGATGACCCAGAATGACATTTTTAGCTATTTTCTACATTCATGTTGGATCTTTCTGGAGGTCTCCTGCTCTGTTGCTGCAAATTTTAAGGAGAAAGGAAAACATGACGGTCAGGTTGGCGGGACTAAGAGAAGGGTAGGCAACCTCGGCTTTTTTATGACTCATGGACTTCAATTCCCAGAATTCCTGAGTCAGTATAGCTGACTCAGGAATTCTGGGAGTTGAAGTCCATGAGTCATAAAAGAGCTGAGGTTGCCTACCCTGTCACTAAGGTGAAGAAACCACAGTGGTGGGGTTTGCATATTGGACTGTGCTGCAAACTCTTGTCTTGCTGAAGCGCAGAAGAGGTGAAGTTCAGAGAAACCCTAAACCAAAAACATGTGAGTTATTAGGGCAACTTTTTGTGGGCTTCAACTCCCAGAATTCCTCAGCCAGCCATGCTGTCAGGAGAATTCTGGGAGTTGAAGTCCACAAGCCTTCAAATTAGCAAGTTTGGAGAGCCTTGATATGCTTGTGCCATGTCTGGAGACCCTGGAGCTATATTATGGTTATGAACCAAAGACAGGGGGGGGGGGCTACGAAGAAGACCACTCGTTCCTTCCCAAATAAAACTAAATAGTTGCTGCACAAATAGAACTAACAAGGATAGCTGGAAACCCTGGAGGGGGTTGGGGTTGGACAATGATCTTTGGGACTGATCATTCCCCCAAACCTGTGGGGTTAAGATCTCTACAGCTTTTTCCTGAACTACTTATTCCAGCTCTTTTTTGCCCTACGTTGATAAATGTCAAAAAAGTGAAAATTCCAAGATCTAGTAAATTGTTCTGGCTTCCCACCAAGGATGAAGGAGCACTTCAACACGAGACTTTATACCTATAATCATCTTTTAAGGGCCTCACACTACAGCAGCACTAGCCCAATCAAGGGCATAAAAGTCTATTGCTCTTGAGGAGGAGAAGAAGATGTTCAAGCTTGTTACGGGAACGGCTAAGGATGCTCGAGAGGAGAGGAATGGGTGAAATTACGAAACAAGAGAAGAGAAACAGCTCTTCATTTTGAGATCGCCACAAACCCTTGCTAGGCTAGGAAGCTTCGGTGCCCATCAAATCAAGGCACTACAACAGTGGTTCTCAACCTTTCTAATGCCGCGACCCCATAATACAGTTCCCCGTGTTGTGGTGACCCCCAACCACTTATATATCACCGGGTGTCAGGGGCGTGGCCAAAGGGGGAAAAAATGGCAGACAGCCTTGTTTGGCGACCCCCGTGAAATGGTCGTTCGACCCCAAATGGGGTCCCGACCCACAGGTTGAGAACCACTGCACTACAAGGTCAAATTGTTATCTGAGCACAAAAGGACAGGCTGCAGAGAACATCTTGGGTCACGGAGTACCCCGATCAACTTATACGCAACTTCCACTTGCCAAGTTGAGCTCAACCAATTAGTGGTTTCGTTTGTTTTTAAGGATAGCCATGAATTAGGTGGGTGCAAAATTGTAGTCAACAACCCGGGAAACTCACAACGGAATACTGCATACATCTCCTCGGACATCTTGTTTCACATGTTCTATAACAGGGGTCTCCATAACTTGGCAACTTTTAAGGTTTGTGGACTTCAACTCCCAAAATTCCCAGGGAATTAAAGTTGTCAAGTTTGGAGAGCCCCTGTTACAGAACAATAGTTTCTGTGCTGTTTCCTTTTTGGCGAAGTAAAAGACATCTAGTTTTGGATGAGCTTGTCCACTGTGTCACCAAAACCACCCTGGAAGCCAAGGTCAGCCTCAGAGCAAGTCTCCAAGGCAATACTGTTAGCGTGTAGGACAGAAAGGAATACAAGTAATCTTGCTACCGTGTGAAAGCACCGGATGTTCAATTGCGGAAATCAAGAACGCATTGAAAGGGATCAGATCTCTTTGGGGTTTTTTTTGATGTGAGATATCGGTTACAGGAAGGCTTTACTTGTCCTTAAAAAAAAAAAAAACATCTTTCTGGGGGGGAAAGCAGAGGTTGCTCTTCTGCATGCTTCCTACGCAGCAGGTTGTGCAGTTTAACAGGAGGCGCGCAGCCTATTGTTAGTGTGCAGAACAGATTCATGTGCCCCCTGTGCGGCTTGCAGCTTCATAGACGCATTGGGGGCATTTGTCAGGGTCCAAGACGTACAGATACTATGTGCTCAACCAAACTATCAAAACGTGGGATACAGATGGGGTTTGAATCAATGGAACGTGTGCTCAGTATGGGTGAACCCCACGGCAGAGGTGAAATCCCACTTGGAAAAGGGAAGAACAGTCCAGATCCATGTTAAACCAGGCCAGTGGCTCACCTCTTCTAAAGCACGTTAACCCTGTACGCTACAAATGCATAAATTGCATTCGCTGGACTTCGAAACCTCCCTACTAGGACACACCTGGGACTCTCAAAATGACAGCTGGCTTTGGAGATGTCAAGCTTGAAGGAGTCAGTCAAAAACCCCCATATCTGACAGTGTGCTACAATTCACATACAGTCCTGGTTACAGAAGCACCATTTATTGGCTGTGTCAGAATGCCACTGATTTGGACACAGAGGTCTTCTTCTAGCTAGCCATACGCCACCACATCCCTCTCTAGAGATGGTCTTCAGAGGACCCAGAATTTTGTTTCTCTTCTGCGGCTACCGAGGCAGTGTGTAAAAAAAGTCAAAGACATCCCACCCCTACCCCACCCCAAATCCCTTTCTATATAACGGATGGTTTATAAATTAAATTAAGCGAAAATATTTTTTTTTGAAAGTTAAATTAAAAAGTACTTTGTGGGCACGGGTCCCTAGACATCCACGCTTCCGTTTTCAGACTCTGCATCTGCCCCCCAGCCAGGGGTCTCCTGGGTCGCGATCTCAAGTCCAAAAAAGCAGCTGGCTCAGTGGGGGCTTTGCAAATTTTAGGCAACTGGGTCGTTTCCACAAGGAAGCGACTGAAGCAAACAACTGCCACGAGAGCCACGGGGGAAGATATTGCTACATTTATGAGATTTCATTTTTCCTCTGCTCATGTCTCAGGGTCGGCTTTTGTCAAAATGTAACACATTGCGAAGTAGTGTTCTACTTTTCTACACATAGTTCGAACTGTCCTGTGTAAAGAATACTCGTTTGGGATCAGTCTCGACCCAAAGCCTGTTCTTTTCCTGGCCTTTTAGGTGAGCGGAAGTGGTGGGGGGGGGGTTGTTTTTGTTTTTCAAAGCAGCACTGATTCGTTCATAGACAATCCATCAGCCTGGTGTCTGTAATGGTGGGCGGGGCCAGGGGAACTCGGATACTGGTAGGAGGGGGGGCCGAGTTCCCCTGAGGCTGTCCTGTATCTGTCCGCGGAAAGGGTGGGAAGGTTGTGGTCTTCAAGAGGCTTAGGCTGAAATGCTGGATGTCTCTTCAAGTTGGCCAAGTGGCTTCGGCCACCGTCTCCACCCCAGGGTTGTCCATAGGCTCCCGGTCTGTACATTAAAGGGGGGTCTGACCATTTTTTATGATCGGGCAGATAATCGACTGGAGGAATTGCAGGGCGGAGGCCTCTCGGTGCCCCGGGGCTGCTTGGAAAGGTTTCATCTGGAAGAACCTCTATCCGACTAGAAGGAGTCACAACAAGATTTTGGTGGAGGGCAGAATAATTTCTAGGGGGCTTATCAGAGAGCATCTGATGACTTTCCATCTCCGGTGGAAAATCAGGAATATACAACTGAGTGGCAGAGCTGGTCCGTATCCCGTGATTGTAGTGTGTGGCTGTGAAGTTACCTACTTTGGTAATGTGCTTTGGAGAAAAACCTTGGTATACAGGTGGATTATTGTAAGATGGTGGTGGCTGTCTCATGGGAGCGCCAACAACTGACCCGTCAGATTGGGATGAATATCTGGGGACTCTGGGCTGAGAGCTGAAGGCATAACTGTTGGATATTTTTGGTGGACTAGATCCATTCTCAATCTCTTTTCTGAAACTGTTGGAGAAAGCTGTGTTCCTTGGACTTGGCAGAAAAACTCTTTCTGGTGCCTGCTCCACCAAGTTTTCGTTCTCCAGACCGGCTTCGGAAACGTTGTCGTACTGCGAGGCATTCGATCCGCGCTTGCTTTCGTCCACACCCCAAACCCGAACTTTTTGCTTGAGGTTGAGTAGCTGAGCTTCGTCGTCAGGAGCAGGCGCGGTTCCGGCCCTGCCCTGCTTTGGCGATCTCATCTTAAACTCCATGGTGATTTTGGTCGTTTTTTCCGTTATCTTAACGTTGGAAGGTTTAATCCACCGCGGCACAAACTCTTTCCCTGTGGTTAATACTGCATTGGAGTTTTGGTTCGCAGCTGCGTTGTGCTTCTGCTTGGGATCAGCCTCTGTTTGCGTCTCAGGCTTTCTCCTGGGGTTCTCCCCATCGTGCTTTGGCAATCCGCTTTGTGTGTTTAGTGCTACCGGCTTTTGCTGATGTCTCAAAATAGGCTTCTTTTCCAGAGAATTTTTTCGCCTTTGGTGGTTTGGCGAGCTTTCTCGGCCTCTCTCTGCTCGTGTTGTGGGTGGGCTCTCCCGGTTTCTCTTTGTCCATGCTGTAGGTGAGTTTTCTTGGCCTCCCTCTCCATATCTTCTTGGCGAACCATCTCGAGACCCTTCTGTAGTCCTCTGGCTTGCCCGGGCCTCCTTCGCTACACCGTTGGTTTTTTGTCCATTGACTAGATGGGTGAGATTCAGCATGGCGGGCTGACTGTCAGGTGGCATTTTCCCCAGCTTCTTTGGAAATTCATCCTCTTTACCTAGAAGGCGAATAAAATTAGTAATTAATACGTCTGCCAATTAAATCGTTGTCATGTATTAGCTTTATGCAGCCTTCAATCAAGAGAGACTGAAGGCAGTTCGTAATTAAAAACTCAACAAATAAACAAATTCTTACCATGAGCTTATAGATAGACTGGCCTGTTTTTTGTTTTTTTTAAATAATGCATTATAGGGTATGAAATAGATGAAAAGAAGAATGCTGGAAGGTTTAGTGATAAACTCAACCCTCGGAGGTTAGAAGCTACCGTCGATTTTATGCTCAAATGCAAGCAACCTCCACCCTCCCTGGACGGCAACAACTGCAGGCAGTATGTCTGATTATCAAAAACTCATTCAAGCAAGCAAAGATTTTTTTGGGAAATGCAATCCAACCTTGTGTGATCCAAACCATACCGACTGGATGTTTTCTATTAAGTGGACAGGTCTGGCTTTTTTGAAACCTCAGCAAATCAAGGTCTTAATTTTAAAAGATTGCTGAACCCCGTTTCTGAAACTTTGGCGTATTTCAGCAATTACTTGGGAGATGGAAGGGGGAATTCTTCAGTCTGCTGTGAATTTGATAGATGTGCATCTTCTAACAGCCACAGGGCTGAAACGGAATACTGGATGAACTGAATGATATTATATTTACTGGGGAAATCACGATCAGTTTCAAATCTCTTGCTCTCCAAGAGCAGACTGCACAGCGAAACTAATTTTTTTCGTTTAAAAAATGGAAGCGGTGGACTTAATCGTTACGCTTCCTCAGAATTGGGTGTGACCAAGTCCTGCCTCTGCTTAAAAACAACCATCTACAGCCACGGTCCTTTCCCTAATTTCTAGCAGAAGAGCATCCCTCCCTCCCCAAATCTTGGCTGCATACATTACGACAGGGGTCCCCAACCCCTGATCCATGGACCGGCAGTGGGCTGCAGCAGGCCAGAAACCGGGCCGCACAAACAAGCAAAGCCCCACCCACAGGATGCAGGCAGTACACAAAGCCACGCCCTCTCCGGTCCGCGGAAAAAAACTTTTCTCCATGGAACTGGTTCCTGGCGCCCAAAAGGGCTCTGCCTTACGAGATCCTTCTGAAGTTACCACCAAATTGTAACTTTCAATCTAACGCGAGAGTAAATTATTAAAGACAGGATCGTTTACATGATTAAAGTCATCACATTAGAAGCATTTCATTTTAAACAGATGGAAACAGAATGAAACCGGAGTTCATTTTTTTATCCTGATCTTGCATTGGGAAGGACATGCCTGTCCAAGACCTAGTAGGGCCGTTCACTGGAAAAATGTTGCACATTTCTGCTCTGGAATTATTCAGCAGGGATCTCCTGTCACCAGATAGAACAAAGTAGAATATTCCTTATTGGCCACGTGTGATTAGACAACAAGGAATTTGTTTCTGGTGCAGAAGCTCTCAGGATACATAGAAACAACAAAATAACACAATCATAAGGTACCAATAGGAGAAGGGAGTAGGAAAGATGAGAAGGATAATAGTAATGCAGTCCTACTACATGGGTAAATATCCTTAGACATAAGACAGTGCTCTGGGAATCAGGTGTTCAGCACAGTGATGGCACAAGGAAAACAAGTGTCTCTGTGTCTAGTTATTTTGATGTATAAGGCCCTATAGCAGCATCCTGAGGGGAGAAGTTGAAATTGTTTATGTCTAGGATGTGAGGAGCTTGGCTGGGGAATTCTGGGACTTCAAGTCCACAAGCCTTAAAGTTGCCCCTGCACTATGCTTGCAGTAACCTTGGCAAAACGTGAAGCGGCATTCTCTGTAAGACACTATCCCATGAAATAGCAGCAGCCTGGCAACTTGCCTGCAAAAGCATTCCTGCTGCAAATAATTCCGCTCAAGCTTTCATTTTATTTATTTATTTATTTATGAGACATATATACCGCTTTAAGTGCAAGCACTCTCTAAGCGGTGTACACCAGTAAGCAATGTATATATATATATATTTACATTGCCCCCAACAATCTGGGTCCTCATTTTACCTACTCCGGAAGGATGGAAGGCTGAGTCAACCTTGAGCCGGTGAGATTTGAACTGCTGACCTGCTGAACACAGTCAGCTAAAGTGGCCTGCAGTACTGCACTCTTTTAAGTTATTTTCATTTCCTCCCATTCAGGAGGAAGTCAGATCTTTATTCACATTCCATCAGGCTGCAGATCAGCCACCTCAAATAAACAACTGATAGAACATCTCAAGTGAACACATAAAGGGAGGGGAACAAAAAATAAAATAAAACAAACAGATTGTCAGGTAATTAGCTTTGCAGATTTTATATGGTGGCGCAGTGGTTAGAGTGCAGTATTGCAGGCCGACTCTGCCCACTGCCAGGAGTTTGATCATGACGGGCTCAAGGTTGACTCAGCCTTCTATCCTTCCCAGACTGGTAAAATGAGGACCCAGACTGTTGGGGGGGCAATATGCTGACTCTGTAAACTGCATACAGAGGGCTGTAAAGCACTGTGAAGTGGCGTATAAGTTTAAGTGCTATTGCTATATGTAGAATCTGCGTAAGCTGTGTTCAAACAAACAAAACAAGGAGACTTAAAGGAGGACGCATAGGGACAGATTATTGGTTTATGGAAGCTGCTGTCACAAAGGTGGGATGAAACTTACAGCCAGTCAACAGCTCCAAGATTATAAAAACCTCTAGCTTAGACGCATCTTGCCACCAAATGGAAGCTCCTAAGCCCACAATGGCCCGTTCATCTTCAGACATCTGGTAATGTGACAAACTTCCTTTTATGCAATCGGTCCTCTGACCCCAACAAGCTAGGTGTTTGATCACTGAAGATGTCAGAGGTCTGAAACCTAAGACCTTTTGCAAGCCTGAAGCTATGGTCCTTTGCTAGTTGGCCAATTTGCAGAATTCCAATTTAAAACATTTGTGGCAGTCCTCGACTGCATAAACACATCCAGTCAAGGATGTGGGTAACAGGGTTAAGACGCACCTCTGCTTGTCTTATATTTCTGATTTGGCCCTGGCATGTCAAAAATTCAGAAAATGCCTACCTTGACTCTGCTGACATTCCACATACACATACACACGAACTCTCTCTCTCTCTCTCTCTCTCTCTCTCTCTCTCTCTCTCACACACACACACACACACACACACACACACAAAGAGGCCTCTCCTCTTCTTCGAAACCTCTGTAAATTAGGATTTGGGGCCTCTGAAGCCTCAGAAAATCACATGAGAACACTCACATGATTTTTGGATGCCTCGAAAGCTGCGTGAGAGGAAGGCTCTCTTGCATGACTTCCAAAGACTTCATGTGTCACCAATAATGGCATGATGTGTCCCCGGTGTGATGTGCATGTCATAGGTTCACCATCCTCAATCTATATATTTATTGGGGAGCCCACAAGAATACTTGTGTGCTTCTCATGCAACTTAAACCCCGCCCATTACCCATCACCCCTATTTGTATCCAGGTTATCTACACTTTTTAGGTTCCAACAGCATCAACAACACTTCGTCATACAGTCACTCCGATTCTTCTCCTTTTTAAAATTTTGAGTCAGTGCATACTTTCCCAAGAAAAGCATTGAAATGTTCCCAGGTTGATTGATAAGGCAGCTTTTATTCTTCTTCTTCTTTTTTTTAGCACACTTAATTACCATTAAGCTTTCAAGCCATCCAAGGGAAAATACGACAGACATTGTTACCGAATTCTTTCTTTCTTTGAAGATTATTTTCCGTAACATCTCTCCCTCACATGCCAGAGCAAGGGAAGAGTGCATTAGCTCTGGTGTGCACGATTCAAAGCTGTTTAGATGTTAAGATTGAAAGCTCACACCTGAATTTTGAACACTGAAAAGGGCAGGGAAGATCGAAGCTAGAATAACCTTGAACTATACTGCCAGTTCTCCAATTAAGAAGCTGGCGTGGTAATTGAAGTATTAACCATGTATTAACAGTGAAAATCACCACTGTTGCCTGGGAAGATCAAAGCCTGTGCACGCAACGGGGCTTGTGAGCTTCTGTTAGATGTACAAAATAATTGGGACAGATATTGCACAGCCCACAAAGGCAGACTTAGAGAAGGGCTCCACACACACACACAAAAACACAGTTTAAGATTCTCATGGAACTTGCATGTTACAGATCCCGTTGATTCGGGAGAGTCATCTGGTGGGACCGTGAAAAACAGCCTTCCTGGTGGTGGCCCCTTATGAAACATCATTCCTCTCAAGGTACAGTCGGCCACCACCCTGCTGCTTTTCTGAAAGACCTAAAAAGTGGCTTTGTCAGCAAGCCTGGGCCCAAATATAAACAGAGCTGACCAAGTGGCTGGTTTGATTGTTTTGTTGCTGCCATGGAGTGTGGTTTTTTTTTTAATGAGGTTCATTATAGAGTGGATTTTTTTAAACTTTTTGTAAACTGCCCAGCGTCATTTATGTGTGCCTTGGGTGGCTATATAAATTTGCTTAATAAATACAGATAGTCCTCGAACTTACAACGATTTGTTTAGTGCAGGGCTAGGCAACCTTGGCTCTTTTACGACTTGTGGACTTCAACTCCCAGAATTCCTGAGCCAGCCTGGCTCAGCTTGGAAACCTCTCCCTTTCCCCTCAGCGTGGCTGGCTCGGGAATTCTGGGAGTTGAAGTCCACCAGTCATAAAAGAGCCAAGGTTGCCTACCCCTGGTTTAGTGATTATTCAAAGTTACAATCTCACTGGAAAAAATGACCATTTTTCACACGACCGTTACAGCATCCCCATGGTCGTGTAATCAAAATCCAGATGCTTAGCAACTGACTCATATTTATGACCATTGCAGTCTTCCAGGGTCCTGTGATCCCCTTTTGCAATCTTCTGACAAGCAAAGTCAATGGGGAAGCCAGATTCACTTAACAACCGTTCTAAGTTAACAAATGCCTTGCTTAGCAAAAAAAATTTGGGGCTCAGTTTTAGCCATAAGTTGAGGATTACCAGCAACATACTTCAACCTAACCAGGTTCAAA